ACGGCCGCCCCAAACCCAGCGCCGCCCCTCTCTATACATTTTATCAAACCGATGTGCCTGAGGCTGGAGCTCTGTTTCTCCTCTTTTCATTTTCATTTCCCCCTCATGTGCAGGCGGCCTGGCTTGCGGCCCGGCTTCCTGTCTGCCACGGGCCGCGGCCGGGCCCTGTCCGTCCTTCCTGCCTCTCCCTGCTCCCTTCCCGGCCCCCTTTCCCCTCGCCGTGCCCCCTGTCCCCTCCGGGCTCTCCCACTCCCTGCCAGTCCCTGCCTTTTATTTAAGGAAAATAAATAAAAAAGCACCAAAAGCAGCAGAAAGGTCTCAGCTCACTGCCGTTATTTCCACCTGGAGAGCCACGCCTGCAGCACCTTGGTGCTTCATTGAAATAGAAATCATTGTTATTATTAAATTAATAAATAAACAGCACTCTTCCCAAAGGTCCAGCTGTCCCCAAAAGAGAGGGCAGGACTGATTATCAAACGGGCAGTGCCTGCGGGGCACACGGGGTGCCACCTGCCCACCAGGGAGGTTTGGGCTCAGCATTGCCTGGGGTTAGGCTTAGGAATAGGCTCGTGACTGCTGGTGGCTGGCCATAACCTGCGGATCCCTGCTGCCATGTATGCCGTACCATGCCGTGCCAAGCCGTGCTGTGCCAAGCCAAGCTGTGCCAAACTGTGCTGTGCCATGTGGAGCCATGCAGAGCCGGGCCGTGCTGTGCTGAACCATGCCAAACTGTGCCAAGCAGTGCCGTGCTCAGCCGTGCCAAACAGTGCCATGTGGAGCCATGCAGAGCCGAGCTGTGCCGTGCTGAGCCGTGCCAAACAGTGCCGACCCGATCCGATCCAAGCCGTGCCAAATCGTGCCGAGCCGTGCTGCAGGCGAGGAGCCGTCGCCCTCTGCCGGCTGCAGCCCGTGCCCGCGGGCGGGTCGGGGACGAGGACCATGGGGGGGGGCCTGGGCTGTGCCCCCTGCAGGGGTACCGGGCGGCCGGGGGGGCTCGTGGGGGTCTTCGAGACCTTGCACGGGCTGCAGAGGTGAGGGGCGAGTTGGTAACGCCAGCTGTCAGGCTTCTTAACCCTATCCCTACATCCCTATATCCCTACATCCCTATATCCCGACATCCCTATATCCCTATATCCCCATATCCCTATATCCCTATATCCCTGTACCTATTCCTACACCTATACCCATCCCTATACCTATATCCAGAAGCACCAGACCCCAGCAAGCCTCCTGGCTGCTGCCTCCCGAGCTGAAGGCAGCCCGTTCCGAGGCAAAGCCAGCAGCGAAGGGCTCCCGTGGAAGTTGCCTGCCCCTCTTGTCGTTTGGGTGAAAAGATGGTGATTTTCTGACAGAAGGCGCTGAGCAGCACAGTACAACGCACTGTCCTGGGCAAACAATAAAGCCCACATCTCGAGTTGGCACGGGACGCTTTCACAGCCGTCTGTATGAATGAATATGTGAGCCACTATTCTTTGAGTACATTCAGGCAAATTCCCCCACTTTGCATACATTTTAATGATCCCCATACATCTCTGGAACACACACACCCTTGTGCTGGTGCACAGCGTGCCCAAAGCAGCAGCAGAATCAAATGCTGACTTAGCTTTTCTTAAAAAAATATGAGCCGGCTGAGGAGGTAGGCAATGAACTGGAGCTCTGAAAATCCTGCAGCGCTGTGACTTGGTGTTCTGGGGCTGGCTCGGGCAGGAACATCTCTGGGACCACCAAGTTCCCTCGTCGGGAGCGTTTGCAGCAGTTTCTTTGTGTTTCCCTCTCCCCCTCTCCCTCTTTTTTTTTTTTTTTTTTTTAATAATATTTTGGCAAATATATTATTTGCTCAAATAGTGCTCAGAAAGAAAATGTGTAGACTGATTATAATGATTATATATCAGTATATACAATAGTATGTATTGATTTATTTTATATTTATTCCCAGCGAGATCCCTGCCGCAAGGTGCCATGGTGCAGGTAGCAGCTCAGGGCTCTGGCCCAGCGGGGAGGGAATGGCAGCTCCCAGGTTCGGGTACCCCAAGCCTCTCCCAGGATGAAAATCATCCTGCAAGCAGTGCCGGCTGGCCGGGCACGTGTTCCCAGCCCCAGCTGCTTGGAAAGAGCAAGTGCCGTTACGGCTGCCCATAAATCACTGCTAATTGTCTGCTGGCCTGGAAAAAAAAAAGATGATTGCCTCCAGAAATGACTCCAGGCCTTGCTCCACCGCTGCGTGGCTCCAGTTTAAACTGGTGAAGGGTTGCTGATGCAACACTGGAGTCGTGTCCACTGCTGGGGAATCGGGCCCGCTGTGGAAAAGGCTTCATGTGAGTGTTTTGGACAGGGCGCTGGCACTTTGAAAGGCGATCTAGCTGCTCTGTGACTCTACAAACAATGTGTGCTGGGCTGGGCCTGCCCCGGGATAATTTCAGAATACTTTGTGTTGGCATAGTTATCAGGGTGTTTGGTGCGTGGCTGTATTTCTTCACCTCTATGTGAGGGTGCCTGGAAAAAGTCAGGGAAATGACAGTTCCACACAGCTACCCTCAGCAAGCTGCTCGGCAGCCAGGGACGATGCCAGGAACAGGGCTTCTGCCCCTTGTTGTGCAACTTTGCAGCACTTTGCAGCCCCCCAGCAGCACTGGTTGGGTTCCCTGATGGTGCCCAGGAGCACGCCAGCCCCACACCACCGATGCCCCGTGCACCACCTCCAGCTCTCTCACCCCCGAGTGTCTGACTGCAGGACATGCCAGCAGGATCCTGCAATTTCGCTGTAAAATAAACACTCTGCTCTTCTTCCACGGCTGATTGTAGCTAACAGCACTTCTGGGAAAGGCAAAGCCACAAGCCCAAACACTGTGCATTATATGGCTGCCTTTGGTTCCTTATTTCTCTTGTTCTGTCTTGCTTTTCTTTCTTATTAACTCCTCGTTGTATTTGATTTTGTGAGCACTTATTGTCACTTACACACCCGTGTCATTGTTCCTCCTCCTGCGCTCAGGAACTGAAGTTTTTCTGCCTCTTTTACTCTGTTACAGGCTCGACTTCCCAGTGCTGATTGCCAGGGGATTTCCTATGGCAGCACAGCCATCCTTTTCCTTCTTCCCAAACTGACCCCTGTGTGCCGCTTTTCTGGTGTTTCATGTGAAGTGGCTTTCCATTTCATCAGGTTTCCATCCCATTTTTATGAACGCTCTTTGCAGCCCAGGCCTCGCACCTTGTTCCTGCAATGTCTGCACAAGCATTTTGGATTTTCCAGAGCTCTTTAGACCTTTGGGGTAACAATACTGGCGGAGTGCACGGCTGCACCCAGCAGCCAGGCTGGCAGGGTGTGGGGGCACAGGGGCAGTGCCGGGGGGGGCTCCTGAAGCCAGCTCCAACCCATTTGACCCCCGGCTGGGAGGGCATGGGAGCTGAGCACTTCACAGGCGCCACAGCAACCTCTCAGACTGTGTTTACTGAAGTACTTGTGCTTATTTATACAGCTAATCGATAATTTATGTCCTTTGTTTGGGCAGACGCGTGAGCAGCGGGGTGTGCATGGCAGTACCCACCTGTGCCCAGGGGCCGCCTGTGAGGGAGGGGACAGTGACACCAGACGGTGCCACCCACTCACACACAGCAGCTCAGAGCCCCGTGGAGGACTTTGTGCCCCATGGAGGACTTTGTGCCCTGCTGCTGTCAGGAGAGGAGAGGGCCAGCGGCTGTCATGCTTGGGGCAACGCAAGGGAAGGAGGACGGTTGTGTGATCAGGGCCAGAGGGGCTTCTGGCAAACGGGATGGCTCAAAATGGACACTGAAACACTGCTCCTGAAATGTCCCCTTCCCAAAGGGCTCAGCCACGGCCCCAGGGGCCTGCTGGACACCCATGTGTCCCTCGGGCACACAGGCTGGAGGTGCCTGGTGCCATGAGGCCTGCTATGGCCGGCAGGCCGAGGGGAGCCCCTGCCCTTCTGCTCAGCACCAGCAAGGCTGCACCTGCAGCACTGCTGCCTGTCCTGGGCTCCCAGGTGCCAGGGGGACGTGGAGCCGCTGGAGCCCAGCACAGGGCCACCAAGCAGGGCCTGGAGCTATATGGGCTACATGGGAAGAAGGCTGTGGGAACCGGGGCTGCTCGGCCTGGAGAGGAGGTGGCACCTGGGGAGCTCCCCCGAGTACAGAGCAGAGCTCAGGGGTGCCCAGCACCAGGGGCAGAGGCCCTGGACACAAACTGGACCCCAGGAGGCTTTTTTCTGGGGGGGGGAAAAAACTCCCCCAGAGCAGGAGGCTGAGGGTGTTTGCTGGGCTCCAGGAGCACCCTGCCACCACAGCTTCCACCATCGCCCTCTGCTTTAATTAATACGTCCCTGGTGTGCTGCTGCAAGTTTGGGCCAGCTTTATTCTTTATTCCTTTTATTTTTTGGTGCATTAGCAGCTGTGCCAGCACCTCCTGCATAGACACGTCCCCCTGCAGGGCAGCCCGGTTCCTGGGCGGGGGGGGGGAGCCCAAAACCCCCCTAAACCCCCCCAAACTCCCCCCCTACACTGCGGGGAGGAGCAGGGGGGGGCGGGGGCGGTCCCTTCTCTCTCCCTCCTCCCTCTCTCCCCCTCTCCCCTCCCTCTTCCCCCCCCCCCCGGTCGCTTCCCGCCCGCGCTCCCCGCCGCGATGTCCCGCCGCCGGCAGGAGCCCGACAGGTGAGCGGGGACGGGGCCCCCCCGAGCCCCCCGGCATCACCCTCCACCCTCCCCCGAGCCCCCCGCACCCCGAGACCCTTCCTAACCCTCCCCCATTCCCCCAGCATCCCCCCCCTCCTCCCAGCCTGGTCCCCATCTGCATCCCCCAGCCCCCCAGCATCCTCCTTCACCCCCCCCTACAGCCCCCTACCACCATCCCCTCCCCATTGTCCCCACCTCCCCGCTGCCCCCTCCATTGCCTCCACCTCCCCATCGCCCCTTCTCCATTGTCCCCCCCCATCCCATTATCCCCCCCTTGTCCCCAAACGCCCCCCCCCCATTGCCTGGATCCCAGCAAAGGGACCCCATCCCATGCACGGCCCAGCCCCTGGGCACCCATCCTACACCCCCAGGACATCTGTGGGGCCATGGGCTGCAGGATCCTGGCCTGGCACCTGCAGCGGGGGCTCCTCGTGCCCCCCACTCGAGGCCAGGGCCCGGCCGTGCAGCCGCCCGCCATCCCCAGCCCCGCTCGCCATCATCCCCTAAAGCGAACAAAAGCGCTCGGCGAGCCCACCGCGCTCCGTGTCCCTGCACCCAATTGCACCCATCCCAAAATGGGTGGCAGCTGAGGCGGTCTGGAAGCGAGCGTGTTTATCTCCCGCCTGCAAGGCTGCGGGCAGCAGCGTGGTTCAACTGTTTTGGTTTTGGTTCAGCAGGGGCCGAACAACAGAGGCGCGCAGCTCCGGCGCGGCAGGAGATAAGGCTGGGCACGCATTGCTTCCCGCGAGGAATTAGCTGGTTGTGGGCAATAATTTCTCAGCCCGAGTAGGCCTGGTTCTCTTCCTCGCTGCGTGTTTTTTTAGCTGAGGAGGAGCAAAGCGCGGGGCTGGAAGCCATCTGTAGGCAAACCGCGTTTACACACAGCCCCTGGCTTGGGCGCGCGCCGAGCTCCGTCCAGGCTTCTTCCCAGCGCTTCAGTGTATTTTTTTCAAGGCAGTTCGGGTACGATTCCCACTCCTGCCCGCACTGAGACTCTCACCCAGATTCCTCTCCGTGTCTAACTCCATTTTCCCTGGCCTTGATGGAGAAATCTTCCCGCTTCGGGCTGCGTGGGAGTGTCCCTGTCCCGCTGCCCAGACCTCTCCTCGTTGCTTTCTTGCTGCTCAGACCCGGATTTAAGGGTTGTTTTCCTGCTGCTGCTGTTGCCTGCACAATGCCGCGCTTTGGGCGGGCTGCTGGGGAAGCAGGGATGCTGGATGGGGTTGGCTTCTGATTCCAAAGCGAAGCAGAGCTGGGTGTCACCTGCTGCTTTGTGGTAACTGCACCCGGAGCGGTTCCCTTCCTAATCGGATGCTTTTGTGGTGGTGCTTCAGCGGGGACGGCGCTTGAGAGCTTTGTGGAGCTCCCCGGAAAGGTTTCCAGATCTGATGAAGATCCGTGAAAGATAAAAACAGCAAATCTCCCCTCTTCAAGAGAGAAAGGATGACAAAGTTGGGTCTGGATTTGCTGTGGGTCACCAACAGGTGATCAGATTGGAGTAATTTGCCACTTAGGGGTCATCAAGCCTGTCTGAGCTCCGTGTGTTGCTGAAGAAGATAAATAATGTCAGCGTCCTGCTGCTCCACCCAGCCTGAAGACTGAACAAAGGTCTCGGAAACATCGGGGGCTGTGGACAGGCTCCTGCTGTCTTCTCTTATTTCCCTTTGTTGTCTCAGCAGCCTTTGCTGTGCTGTACTCACCCTGATGCTTCCCTGCACTAGGAGCGCCGATAACCTTCCTGCCTGCTAGTCAAATTAAATGTTTATGTCCTGGAGAGCCTGGCTTTGCAAAAGGGGCTGGGAACCAAGGGCTTGCCCTCGTGGGAACCCCTGGGGCAGAGCCAGACATCCCCAGCATCCCTGCAGTAAGGGCAAGAGCCGGGGTCTGGGGTTGCATTGAGAAAATTATTTTTTTTAACATCATCCTCCCATCATTACTGCTTAATTTGCCTTAAAACCTGCTCGGTTTCCTCAAATTCCCTGGCTTATGTGGAAGGGTGGCAGAAGATTGTCAGGTCTTCTCATGCATTTCCCGTTTTGTCTTCCAGCGGAATCGAATCCCTCTCTGCAGACGAGCAAGGTACAGTAACTTTGTGAAGTACGTGGCTTCAGTGGGTTTCTCGTTAGAAATTCCCATCCTTCTGAAAGAAAATCACAATTTGATAACTACTGGCTATAGAAAAATAAATGTGTAATGCTTTAGTTTCATGGGTAAGACTCTTTAGATTTTATGCTTGTTTATAAAATTGATGTTATTTTGTTATTTATTCTTTTCCTCTTATCTGCATAGTGCAAAAATGCCAGGAGAAGAGCTAGTCTTGCACTGAAAATTCAGTAGATGGCTGCCGAATCTCCGTGCATCCAAGCCGGAGCACTCGGTGAGCACCATGGGCAGGGCTGGACCTGCCAGAGACCTCGTGCAAAATAAAAATCAGTGCATGATCATGCGGAGAGAGCTTTTATTCTGCTAAAGGGTTCTGTGAAATCTCTAACACCCCCGCTCGGAGCACAGAGGCGTGCGTGTCGCGGCGGTCTGGCTGGGACATCTGGTGTGGGGTGGAGGACATGGGACACCGGTCCTCGCCGCGTCTCTGCGGTTCCTCTTTGGCTGGCGATGACAGCCTGGTGTTGGGCACATTTTTTCGTGTCTGCTGGGAGTCGGCAGCTGTGGGCTGGCGCTTTGCTCTGCCTGCTGCGGTGGGAGGGGGGGTCCGTGGCCGTCCTTGCAGCCCCTCTGCCCTGCAGTGCACTGTGTGCTGCTCTCTCCGTGCCCCGGTGCACCTCTGGGTGCAGTCCCTGCAGGCTGATGCAGACATGGGTTTAACTCAAAGCAAGAAAACCTGCTCGGCGTTTTATCAGCACAGGATGCGGTGGCCCCGTCGCTTTCCTGTGCTGAGGATGTGTGAAGCGTGTGACGCTGATGACCCCAGAGACTTTGATTATGGGTGTTCAGCAGTTCCTTTTTTCATGCAAAACATGCGCGTAAAACCCAAAAATCCTCTTCCAGACTTGGAGGCCTCCTGCGAGGAAGGAGCGGACTGTGCCGCCCGCTGTGCCGAGGGCTGTGCTGAGGAGCTCCCAGCAGGTGAGCAGAGCTGGGACCAGGAGCCAGTCCAGCTTTGTGGGGCTGGAAACTGGGTTGTTTCTTTTCCAATATTGGTTTCTCTTCAACTCACGTTTGTACGAGGGGTTTCTGAGAGCCGTGTGTGGCACAGCCCCAGCCCGAGGCACTCCCTGGTGGCACGCGCCCGTCCCCGCCGATGCTTCACCCACCTCTCGTGCGTGCCGTGGGAAACCATGATTCAGCTGGGGAAGTGGGATGTGCCGGGGCAAAGGGAGGGCCCAGAACAGTCCCAGTTTGTTTAGGACATCATAGATCAAAATTAAGCAACGAACATCACATGTACCCTTCAGGAGAGCCTCTGTGACCCCTGAAGTCTCCTCTCCACAACTCCTCTGACTTGAGTCTATGCCTAAGCATAGCTCAGTATTTTCTTACTCTGTGGCGTTACCCAACTTGCCCACCAAACAAATGCTTTTAAACTTCTCAATGTGTCCCTTACCTGCCTGTGGCATAGCTTTATTTACTCCTTCCCATCACTAACGGGGTGTGATTTTGTTCAGGTGAGAGCAGTTCCGAAAGCAGCTCCAGCAGCAGCTCAGAAGATGACTCAGGTGAGTGTTGTGTTCCAGTTTATTTAATTTCCCTCTTTGGAAAATGTAACTTCAGTTAAACTGTGCTGCTTTTTTTTGTGGGAATAGTCTCAAAGTTATTGTACAGCGCTGGTAATTCAATGACTGAATGCTGAAAAGCAGAATGATATTTCTGCAAGCACATTATTTCCTAGTCACTCGCTTCTGAGCCCTGCAATAACAGAGGAGCGGCAGCTCGTGGGGCACTGGCCTCGCTCACACAATGCCTGCAGATGTTTGTACGCTGCAGTAGCCGTCCAAAGACCGAGAGGCTATAAATCTGCATAAAAATTGGCAGCACAAGTGGCAAAACAGGATGGACAGGAAAAGAATTAAAGGAAGTGTTTGCTGTTGATGAAAAGCGTGTGGGTTTCCACTTGCACGGGTTACACCACGAACAGTTTATTCTGTTTTCATGCAAGACTGAGTCTTTACTATAGAATTAGAAAGCTTTTTGTTTTTTGTTTTTTTTTTCCATCAGATACTGAGGAGTCTGATACAAGACGGTCGGGTGAGTGTGCTGCTTTGTTCCTTTCCTGTGTCCGCCTTTGGAGGCGTTAGGAAGCCGACGTGGCTTTTTCCTGGGATGCACGAGGGCAGGCAGACAGCAACCGAGCGCTGGCACAGCCACTGCCAGCCAGGGCCTTTCTTTTGGCACAGACACTTGCTGGAGGGCTGAGTGCATGCGTGGTGTGTGTGAACATGGCAGCACTGCTAACTAACGAGCGGCGCTGCCGGAGCTCAGCCAGGCTTCCTCTCCTGCCCGGGGCTCGGAGCGATGCCAGCGGCCGCTCCGTGCCCAAAATAGCGCTCCAGGACGGGGTCCAGCTCGCTGTCATGGCCTGGGTGTTTCTGTGATGGCTTCCAGGCAGCTCAGCACGGCGTCGGATAATAATAGATTTTCTTCCTCTCCCACATCTGCCTACCTGGGAGGTGTTGACACGAGGGGATGACGGGGAGGGCCTGCCCGCAGGCCGGCCGTGCTGGGCTGGCAGCACGGCGGTTGCATTTCGTCACACCTTGTGGCGTGAGCTCTGCCAGTCACGTTTGCACAATTTGAGCCTCCGGGCCACAAAATTTTGCCTCATGTGTCAGCTCCGCTTGCTTGCTTTTGTGTTGGAGTTTGGTGAGGCGGATTCAGGCGTTTCAAAACCCGTTTAGGGCCAAGCGTGCTGCTCTAGCCTGGCTCCCTTCTCGCTGGGGAACGTGGTGCCTGGCTTCCCTGCAGGTGGTTGGTGTTCGTACTTGGCAGGATGAGTGGTCCTGGGGAGAAGTTTCCCCCTTGCCACGAACATTTCCAGGCCTTTGGGCAGGCTTTGAGCTTTTGACAAATCTTCTATCCTGGTGCCCAGCCTCATTCCCAAGCTGTGTGCAGGCACAGTAGGCCTAAGAATATTTTCCTTTGTGTTTTTCCTTAAAGTAAGCAGATGAAATTGGTGGGTTGTCCTTACTGAATATGTGTGCAGAGACCTGCCTGGAGGCTGATGGATGTGTTTGCTAGGCCAGGCATCACTACAGCCCCTACTGACAGGGGTGCAAATACTAGAAATCCCAGGAAGCTGGGGTGGGCAGAAGCAGGAACAGAGAGATCTGTCCCCACTGTCCTTTTGTTATGTAAAAGCCACAGGTGGCCCTTCCCAGGGAGCTCTTTCACTACGTGTATTAATATGTGCCTTTAAAACTTCTTTATGTAGATGAAGAACAAGAAAAGAAAGAATCACAGCCAGACCGCAATGAATCTGGTGGTAAGAGAGCTCTGGAGTTCTTTCCCCCTCCCTCCCTTTTTTTTTCCTGAGCATTTAATTGCTTTGATTTTAATGAGCTGATTTGCCTGTTTTCTCCCTAGGAGTGAACTGTCAGCCCCACTGTGAGCACTGCAGAAATGAAAATGTATGTTTAGAAAAAGAAAAATGTCTATTTTTCATGAGATAGAATTACAATTTGCAGGTTTTCTCTCGAGCTTTTAAAATATGTATTTTTATTTTATCTATTTATATAGGCCCAGAGGGAGCAGGTGACCCCTAGGAGACTTGCTGGAGGACAATATTTGTATGTTTGTTTTTAATATAATGGGTATACATTTATGTTGTTCCCATCAAGATACTTTTTCAGATTAAGCAGGGAAAAAAATTCCTACACAAACGCATTTGTAGCTATAATGAAAGATGCCCCCAAGTCCCTAAAAATAAACACCTTGCACCAGCTGCTGGTGCTGATGGTAGATCCTTGTCCAAGACAGCCCTCAGGGTGGCTTCTCGTGTGTTTTGTTTTGTTGCAATGGTTAATGTTAATTAATAATTGTGAATTATTACAATACAAAGAATTCATTGTTTATTTAATAATAATAATTAGCACCTGCTCTGCAGCAGGCACCAGGCTAACTCTGGGTCTGTCCCGGCAGGCTGAAGCTGGACGCGGACGGCACGTACCAGTGCAGCGTCACGGGCCTGATTTTTGAGGTGACCGAGGCGGTCACCATCAGCTACTCCCTGCTGTCCTGGAGCAAGTACGCCGGGCTGGTGAAGCCGCCGTGGGTGGTGGGCGGCCCCCTCTTCGACGTGCATTGCAAGGCTGCCTCCGCCCTCACCTCCATCGCCTTCCCCCACTCCCTCTGCCTCGGCGGTGAGTACCGGCCTCTGGTGCGGGCAATGGGGGCAGGCCGGGCCGCAGGTGCCAACACCGACACCATGTGTCCCCACAGATGGTGACTCCCATCCAGCCTTCAAGGTGCTGCACATCAAGGACGCGGGCGCAGCCATCGAGCCCTCCATGGACTACTCGGCCTCGCACGTGCGGTGGCTGGTCAGCTCGCTGTCACCCGTCGGGCCGCTCATCCGCAGCGAGGAGCCGCTGCTCTACCATGGCGCTGTTGTCTTGTACAAGGCCGTCGACGATGACCCCTCCTTGCTGTTTCGGGTCTACGTGGCCACGAACAACGAATCCTTTATCAAGGTGGGGTTCACCACCTCGGTGCTTTGGCAAAGAGGCGGCCTTCTCTCCCTGCAGTCTGTGCACGCGAAGCTCTGGTGGCATTTCCACGTGCAGAAAGGCCCTGGCATGTTAGGGTTTAATATGTAAGCAGTTATATTGGCCCACCTGCTCATTCACATGCTGCTGTGAAAAGTACAAAAAATGACAACACATCAGAAACGTGTTTGCCACCAAATGAACAGGGCTCAGATCTGCACCACTTGTCCCCTCTCGCCAATCCCCCTGTAGGCCAGCAGGAGAGGGGGGTAGCACCCAACAATGCTTGCTTTCATTTGGCTTGCAAAGTCCTTTGAATTTTGCTGATGTAGCACAATTCATTTTTTATTTTTATTCATTCATTTTGAGGAATGGAGCCATCTGCCCCCACAAGTGTTGTGTTTGGTACACAGCATCTAGTAGAGTTTGCTGTGTGGCACAGGCCGTGGCCGTTCTGTTAGAGCTGTGGTGGTAAAAAAAACACAGAGCCCCAAGTAGCGTGGATTGTAAATGTGACTCCTTTCACCGAGGGGTGTAACACGCTGTCTTTTTAAAATTTCAGGATATAGCAAAAGCAGTGAAACATTCAAAAAAGAAGTTCATTAAAATCGACAAGCCCCCTGTGTGCCAAAAATTACTACAGAAAGGAAAGAGATACAGATTACTCTGCGAACCAGAAGCTGAAGTAACTCCGGAGGTAAGTTCCTCATGTAATTGTCATGTTGTGCATCACAGCTTGATTTGAAACATGATAGAAAATAACTTTTCCTTCCCACTCCTGCTGAGTGTGGGGCTTGCTCTGGCTTTAAGGGCAGTTTCCATTTTCCATTTGCAATTGCTACAGAAAGCATTTGCCTCTTAAAGACCTAAAGCTTTGGGATGAAATCCTTACATTGCTGAAGTTGATGGCAAAACTCTGGGAGTTTGGATCAGATATGTGCCACCAGCCAAATGTCTTCTGTTTAATTTAATGTTTGGATAAATGTTTATTTTAAACATAACATTTTACAGGAAATCGAATTTGTTGATGGATCTCTTTTGAAACTAAAAAGTTACATTGAAGTCTATTTGGAGAAACAGGAAGACTTCACCTTGTCTTTGATTGAACTGGAGTCTGAAGCAGTTGTATGGAAAGCAAAGCTAAGAGAAAGTAGGTATTTTGTGTTCTGAGTAGCAGTTTGTTCCCGCTGAAAGGAAGCATGGTTTGGGATGCAATTCAGCCTGTAGATTAAGTTCTTTAAATAACTTCAATTACTGCTGTTAAAATTGCAAGGTTTGGAACTGGAAGTGATAAGAAGAGAAGAGATCCAAGAGGTTGCATACCGAATTTTGGAGTAACCTGCACAAGCCCCTGCGCAGCACAGACGTCAAGACGACGGACAAAGTAGTGTCTTTGAAGCCTGTGCTGGAGCAGGTGCCTTCAGCTTGCAGGCAAAGGTGTCAGTGTTGTGGGGTGGGACAGGAGGGTGCTCTGCTGTATGTACCAGGAGCAATATATGTTATATAAGTGGCGTGGGAAAATGGGAGAAATAATCTCATTCTTTTAAATCTTAGCTCAGCAACACAAATCCACTTAATAGTTTGTTTTGATGTGTGACAATGGTTGGACTTAGGGCACAGCAATAGGAATTCCCACCTGACCTATTGTTTTCTTTGAAAACTGTTTTCCAGGTGACTGGATACATTATGATCAGAACAAAAATGAGCTAAAAAGAAATGCAGGCAGTAAGTCCATTTGAAGATACTTCCAAGTTGCTTGTTTTCTGTGTGCCTCAGTTGCTGTTATTGCTCAGGTGATGTGTGTGTGAAATGAATGAAATAACATCGATTCTTCCTTGCTCCTTAGGCATCAAAAGACGGAAATCAACCAACAGCTTTTCTGACGAAGAGACACACTGTGGCAAAAAGCAAAGGTCTAACAGTACTACAGGTAAGCATTTCTGTATCATTTAAAATACTGAGTTTGGGTTGTGTTTTTTGTGTTTTTAATCCTATGATTTGAAGTGAAGCTGAGTTTGTGGTACACTTCCACAAACTTGACCGTGAAATATAGGAGGAGAAATTGCTGCTTTTGTAGCTACGGGATTTGTGTGCCTCACTTATATACCCCTGTACACTGCCATTCATTCAACAGGTAAATGTGGAGAAACAGCTAGGAAACTTGACTTATAGGGGTCAGCTAAAACGGTGTTGTCTTCTTAGTCTGGGAAATAACGGATGCTTTTAAAAGGGGCTTCCACTACATGTCTCAGATTTTGTACTCAGAACATGTCCTTAGCCATAAAAGGCTGAAAAAAATCAGCTCCCATTTCCTGTTGGCATATAATGCCTTGATGTTCAGAAATGTTTGGTGTCTGGGAGCTCCCAGAGAGAAACTACTAATTTACTAATAGTTATTTCGAAAAAAGAAAACACGGTCATTTTCTGAATCAAATAATATCGCTGGCATCAGGCTTCATATGTCAGCAAAAATAATCATGTAGGTATTTATTTATGGGTGCATGTAGCCACCAGAGGGAGAGCTTTCATCATTCAAAACTTCATTTTTAAATGGTGATAAAGAAAAGGAAAATGGCTTAGTCCATATAACCATGTAGGCTGAGACCTCTTAGCTACTGTAATTAAAAGAAAAACAAACCTCAACCTCCTGGAGCACTGTTTGGTTTTGAGGAAAAGCAGTCATCTGAATTAGTCAGGTGATGGCGAACGCTTAACATGTTAATGCTAAGCCTTGATGTTACACATCACAAAATCTCTGGGTGCTTGGTAACATAATGTGACATACCGAAGGATGTTTGTGTTCGTACAGTTCTATGAGAGGAATAGCTGCTTATAAGTGGAGGGGAAATAAAAAGCCTTTAGGGCATACAGCACAAAATCAGAACTTAGCATCTTTATGAGCCAGGCTTCTTAATTATTCAGGTGATTTTCTACAGTGCTTGACTTGATGATCTTAGAGGGCTGGATTTTTTTCCCAACCAAAGTGGTTCTAGGTGATTCTATAATCCAGTTTTGTCTGCGTAACTAATAAGGTCCCCTTCATTATATGTCCCCTGGCCCTGCACAGAGCAACAGTGTCATTTAGTTAGAAGGCTAATCAGAAGAGCAATAATAGATCTGGTTTTTGTTCTGTGTGTTTCCAGATGGAATTAAAACAATGAACCTACTAACCGATCAACAGCTGATGGCAATCGCAAAGCTGTTTGGTGCAGAGTGGAAAGAAGTCGCCATTGAATGCCTCCAGATGGAAATGAAAGACATTCAGCAGATTCAGGCGAAGGAACAGGAAGTCAATATACAAAAATTTCTGCTGTTAAGCAAGTGGAGAGAAAGGGAGCAAAGCAACGGAACCGCACAAAATTTGTACAGCAGACTCAGCGAAAAAGTATCATATGATATAGTACAACTACTAGAAGGTATCCACTTCTCATATCTGTGTAATTGTATCACCGTGTCTCAGATGTATTTTAAGAGTTCACATACTAAATACCTAGTACACATTTTATTGTGTGGGTCAAAATTGTCTCCCTTCTAACATTAATAATGATCTACTTTCTTGTGGCATTTGTATATTTCCCTTCAGAAACTGCTATAAAACGAGTAACCTTGAGTAACCTTTTTGTATTGACTGTTCAGAATACTTGACCGTGACCAGATCAATTGGCATTATATACCCAGGCAAGTTGTTGGTTTGTATCAGGAAGCCCAAAGAAGTCCAAAAAATAATGGTTTTGGAACAGGCAAAACTTTGTTCTTACTTTACTATCCATAAAACCTGGCTCCAACAGGAAGACAACTGTTGCTGTTTCCTCACTCATCTGGCCCTTGCAAACATGTATATTGCCATGCCTTGCACTGTTGTACCTTTTTATACACATATTCTTGAACGTATATACTATCTGATCTCTAGAAGTTATTAAAATGCTAACGTGCTTGTGTGTGTTCATTTCCCCAGGCTTTATGGCTCAGTGATGAGTTCAAGAAGAAGCTGACAAAAAGCTCGGGAACTTTCCCCATCCAAATGGTTAAACTTTTCAAGCTGTTTCCCTGGCATTTCATTGTGATTCAGTAAGGAAGATGCAAATCATAATCAGTCAGCGGAAAGTTTAGACAGAGTCTATGAAAGAAATGTGAATGAAATTTTGCACTGATGTAAGTGCAAGAAGTGTTTTCAGGAGTAATTACTCATGTGGGTTTTTCAGGAGTAATTACTCATGCGCTTGGATGCCGGTCATCGCCGCCGTCGAATCAGGATGGAAGTGCCAGGCTTCACGTGCCCCAGATTTGCTACAGAATTTTGTCTTGTTTGAGCCAGTCCTAAAAGACAATGAACACTAGGAGAAATTGGTTTACCTTTATTGGGTATATGATTATTATCTTGAAACATTTTATTTACATCAGGGAAAGACAGGGAGAAAAGTTGCGCAGCAACTTTCATCCCCCTAAAAAATAATGGAACTGTCAAAATCATGAGGTAAGTCACATTTCGTATAGATGCCTACGATCAGGGAAGAATACTCTTAAATTTGCAGATCAGGTTGTTTGCATAATTGCTGTATATATGTAGCCACTGTATATATTCGTGCGTGCTCAGCCTTTGTTGGGCTGTGGTTCTGTTTTCTAAAAAAGAAAAACTGAAGACCAACTTCAGAGTAGCACCACTACTAACCGCAGGCAGCTTTGAATTTTCTGTGGGATTTTCTTGTTCAGTCTTGTGTCTTGTATAGTCTGTCTCAATTTTTATATTTTTTATGTTGAATGTTTTTTTGTATTATGAACTTTTTATACTTTTTTTTTTTACATGAGCGATTTTAACTTGAACAGAATGAGGTGCTTAAGCTGAAATAGAGAAAAAAAAAAGAATAAAACAAAAACCACCTCATATTTTGAGTTTTAGAAAACTCAACTTGGAAAACTCAAATTTTCCAAGCAGAGTGTTACTCTGTGGCAATACCTGCAGTACTGTAAGTAGTACAGTAGTAAGAGATCTGAAAATAATGTCATTTGCAGAAGAGAGCAGCTACTTGATTGTCTTATTTTTAAAGACACGCAATTCTATGGATCATCTTCCCCTGTGTATGTTTATGAAAGAAAAAGCATACTTTTAAAAATCAGGATTAAAAAGGAAACATTCACACTGCATGCGTTTCATGTTTTTATTTTAAGTGTTTGATGAAATACCACTCTTTTAGAGGTTACCTGCTGGTTGCCTACCATGGGCCATCTCCTTCACCCTTAGTGCTGCTTTGCCAAACGCTGTCAGGTCAGGGCATGTTCCTGTTTTGGGGTGAGGAGTGGGGTTTGAGGCAGCGGTGTTGGAGGAAGGGTTGCACGTCCCTCACATCTGCCAGCCCTCGTGAGCCGTCACACAGCAGTAGCATTCTCTCTCCATCCCTCTCCAGGAGGGGTTTCTCCACGGAGAGTCCCGAGGGGTTTCCACTGGCCAAGGGAGAGGCTGTGGCAGTGCCCCAAGCCTCGGGGGCTCTTCTGATGGTTAGGGAAAACCAGGCCAGGTGTGTTGTACGCCTCCCCGTGTGGATGCAGAGTTGCCCTTGGCTCTTCCTCTGCCAGGCAAACAGGAATTGCTGCTGGGGACACGTGGTGCCTTGGTGGACACTTCTCACCTTCCACCATCAGGCAGCTGGGTGTCTTCAAGGACGGTCTCCTGCTGGCTTCAGTTCCACACATCGTAGCTGCCAGTTTTCGCTTCTTTAGCAGCAAAATCTGCTTATTTCTTTTTGGTTTTGTGATGGGAGACCCCTTGTCTGTAAGTGGAGCAGTGATGAGCTTGGAAGAGAGAACAGAAGTGTGTTTGTCCCAGTGTCCATCTCTGGGTTTTCAATTTAAGCCTCAGATTTTGTTTCAAAATGACAAGAGGGTTTTATTTTTTTTGGTATGTAGTGATTAAACACATGCTGTTCCACATGTGCTATGTTTGTTTAGCCACTAATAATAAAAATACAGATGTCATTATCTGTTTTTTTATTTTATTTTATTATTATTTTTTTTACCACTAATGAGTAAAGCAATTTATCCCATAAAAGGGAGCATTAAGGGGATTATTTCCCCAAATGTCAATACTGGTTTCACTGCCAGCTAATGGTTCTATTGAGTGCAGATGCTAAATTACAGCACAAAATGCTTTTGTTGGGAAGTATTAGTGAGTTTAGAAAGGTAAGGCATACCCACGCTGTATATTTTGTGTGAATGTACAGGCCCCTCATAGCGGTGAGCTCTCAGGCAGGCTGCACTGGGATCATAGCCATTTGCATGTGCTTGGTGATTTGTTGCAAGTTTAGCTAAATTCTCGAAAATGAATCTTTCTGAACATGCAAAATCAAGGGGTTTGCAAAAACTGAGCAAGACTTTGCCTGTAATGGGGAAGGAGAAAGGGGAAGGCTGCTTCTGTGTGCCCCAGCTGCTGCAAGAGCTGCCAGGGCATGCAGAGGGGATGAGATGTGGGCTTTAGAAAGAAAAGGAAAGAAAAAGAAAAGTTGTTGTGACTCTTCTTTGGCAAGAAGCTTTGTTGTCTACAAAGCCAACTTCAGCTTGTAATTTTGATGTGGCTCAAGGGGAAAAAAAGGAAAGTTCCAAACGGGCTCTTATTTTAAAGCTAGCTGATTTTGCTTCCTAACTAAAAGATTTTGTTCTCCCAACCTGTGTGTTACACAGCACCTGGGAACTTTAAGGTACACGATACAAACAATGCTGGGTTAGGACTCCCTAGCCAAAAGTAGAAATGGGTAAAACACAGCTGGGAGTAGGATGCTTGCTTGTAGGAACAGGGGCAGTGCAGCACATGGTCCAAAGATACAATCAGGTCTTCAACACCGTGGTTCTTTGAATCAAAATCAAGAAACTTTTGAAAAAAAAAAAACAACAAAACAAACAAACAAACAAAAAAAAAAACCAACAACAACAAAAAAAAAACGTATTTCTGTGCTCTTCAGCTGTGGCTTTGTCTGTGTGCCCGCCGTTCCTGCAGGAAGGAGGGATGGAAGCAACACAACCAACAAGGCCCTCAGGTGTGAGGGCCTTGCCTTACATCTGCATGATGGGCACGCTGTAGGGGTAAAGACCAGGGCTCTAGTTCAGCTATCAAACTGGGGGATGTTATAGGATGGCATTGCGAGGCCTGGCGTGGTACACAGGTGCCACTAACGCTGGTGGGACAAAAAGCAGCAGAGACATCCCTGGGATCAGCTCGGACAAGCTGACAAGAGCAGTCCTCCTCCCACTCCTCTTTTTAGGCCAGCTTTAGCACTGGAGGGAAGAATTTGGACAATAATCACCCGGTCACCGCTTCTGCCCTTAAGAGCTCTGCCCCAAATTCTCGCTCCATTGAATTGAACAGTGCAGCTATTGTTTTCCCTGGGGCCGGGCTTTCACCCAGGAAACTGCAAGGGGCTGGAGATGGCTGTGAACAAGAATGGCTCAGTCCCAGAGACAATCCACAGGAAACGCAGCTGGTGGAAGGAACAAGAGGAAATTGGACTCTTGAATTTGCCCCCAGGGCTCAGTGGTGTCGTGGTACACCGCTTGGATGGGGGCAGCAGCCAAGCACCTTAGGAGGCTGATCAATGATTGTCTTATCGATTTGTGTCATAACTCAAGGAAGAAAAGGTCACCATGGTATTTTATGCAAACTGTAATTTTATTAGGCAATAAATAGAATAAATAAGGAACTTCACAATAAATAAATCAGCAATATCATAAATACGTTTAGAAATATCATAAATACGTTTAGGAATATTATAAATACATTTCAATTTCTGAAACTTGAATAAATAAAACATTTAGGACAGGTTACAGCTGAGTGTTCGGTGATCTGAGAACATTACTGTGCGATATAGCTTATTGTCTAGAAGTGTAGAAATTTAACAAGATAGCTTAAAAAGGCACTTGGCAATAGCTCCTTATAAGAAACTCTGTAAAATGGGACGCGCTCGCTTCCTACAAAGCCAGCCGCGTCGCAGGATGCCCACCCTGCCGTGTTTTCTTGCTGCAAGGCTTTGAGGCACTGCCCGGGGCTCACAGGGCGCTCAGGTAGTTCATCATCCTGTCGATGGTGACGGCGCGGATGCGGAAGGCGTGCAGGACACCGCAGAGCCTCATGCGGTCCTTGAAGGAGGTCAGCGCTGCGCTGGGCGGCGGCTGCAGCGCGCCCGGGCTGCCCGGCTGCATGGCCTGCATTAAGGATTAAGGATTAATTCTATTTCCCCCAGATCAAGGTGTCCATCGGGGCACCAAGGCTCTTCCCACCAGCCATAACAAGCGCTCTGCAATCAGCCCTGCAGTGGTAACATCTCCAAGCTCTTTGGAGACGCACAGGCAATGATTTTTTTCCTTTTTATCAGCTTTTGTTGAGCCAGCAAACCCAACAAGCCCTTAATATCTGCCTCCTTTACCTTCCAGAAAAAAACACCAGCAATTTTCTAAATTGTCAGAAATGTTCATTCACTCTACGACTAACCGCAGAGCAGAACGCTCTGGGTTAAAGCTCTGGTTTAAGGCAGAAATAATAGGAAGGAACGAGGCAGAAACGCTTACTTTCATCATCTCGTCAATGGACGTCAGCACCTTCTGATCACTGAGCTCTGCCCTGTAGGCTTTCAGATCTTCATAGATCCCCTGCAGGCATTTATGCTGCAAAAGTCAGAATTGTTAAGAAACGCTGGAATTTGTTGCTAAAAGCTTTAAATGCAAACCAAGCAAAATAAGTGGCTCTTTGGAGAAACCTCCAATTTACCTTATCAAAAGTAGGACTTTCCAGCACTGGACAGTTTCCAGTCTGCAAATGAAGGAAGAAATGATAGGTGCATTAAAATGTGGAAATGTGAGTTATATGGCTGTTCTGTGACACTGGGATGCTGAACCCTGAGCGTTTGTTTTTTACCCTTGGGTCCTCGGACGTGCAAGCTTTTAGCGTGTTGATTCGATCCTTAGTGATGTCTTCGAGATCAACCTCCTCCAGGGTACATTCAAATCCCAGCGTCCCACGTTCCTGCGTTAAAAAGAGAAATCAGAGGGTCACTGATTCAGCCCCAGAAGGTGGCAAATGGACCAAGTGTCTGAAATCGGGGAAAATGTGGCAGCTGTGCCAAACAGGAACAAGCTCAGGTTTTGTTCTGTGTGTTGTTGCTGGATGAGTGTCTCCATACCTTTAGCAACACAAATTGTTCTCTCAGACATTGAATCTACAGAGAACTTTGTGTCACTGTAATTTCAGATGTAAAATTATCTCCTGGGAAGTCAAAATTAGCAAATACCATCTGCATGGACACTTAGTGCTCACCGACACACCACAAGCATTGGAGCCATGCACCTATTTAGTGGCTTTCTTTTGTGCTTCTCTGAGGTGAAGCTTGCAAAAGTAGCAGGGAATTTTAGCCAAAAAAAATTAAAAAAAAATCCCCTTGGTGCTTCTGCCAGGGGGCTTTGGTGCAGGAGGGTGCCGGGGCAGCAAAGTGAGAGCATGCAAATGCAATGCCAATGGGAGCAGGATCCCCAGAGCCAGCAGCATGAGAGAAAAAGCGTGTTCCAAACTGGGAGCGGTGCAATTGGCTGCCACTGAGCTGAGAAAAGTGGAGCTGAGAAAGGCACCTGCACAAACCCAGGTGCTAAAGTCGGAGCAGTTAGAGAGGCTGGCAGGGAGCTGAGAAAGAGCATCCTCCCGACTGGGAACCACCACTGAGCATCCCAGGTCCCACCACCGAGCATCCCTCCATCCCAGTACCACCACCGAGCATCCCTCCATCCCAGTACCACCACTGAGCATCCCAGGTCCCACCACCACCACCGAGCATCCCCTGAGTGCCCGTGTCCCACCACCGAGCATCCCTCCACCCCTGGTCCCACCACCTAGCACCCGTCCATCCCTGGTCCCACCCAACCTCCCCATCCCGGGCACCACCCGGTTCCCTGCCCGTCGCCCACCTTGAGGCTGAGCAGCGAGGCTCTGGCAGCCTCCAGCAGCGCCCGGGAGCGGCGGAGCTCCGGGACCAGGCTGCGAACGGGCGGCGGCAGCGCCGGGACGGGCAGGGGCAGCGCCAGGCAGAGCGCGGCCAGCAGCGCCCAGCGCCCCGAGCCCCTGCCGGTGCCGGTGCCGGTACCGATCCCGGTGCCCCCGGCGATGCTGGTGGCTCTGCCCCTTCCCCTGGAGGTGCTTCGCTTCTCCATGGCTGTGCCCCGGGCTCTCCGGCTGCTCTGCGGGGCCGCGCCGCTTTTATAGGGGCGGCGGAGCAGGACTTCCCCGGGGCGCTGTTCCTTTCCAGGAGGGGAGCCGAAAGCCGCGGGGCCGCCGGGAATCCCGCAGGGCACCCAGAGAGCCCCCGTGGGCGGCCGGGGGTGTGCGGGGGGCCGGGGATGTGCGGGGGACCCGGGGATGTGCGGGGGACCCGGGGGTGCCCGTGGGTAGCAGCGCGCCCGCTGCGTCTCTGCGCCGGGAGCAGGTGGGGTGAGGTGTGCGGGAACCCCCAAAATCCACGCTCAGAGGGGCAGCAGCTCCGGTGTCACCGCTTTAAAGTGAATTTCTGAGGCTGGCGTGTGGATTGGCAATGATTTCTGCACAGTCCTTCGCTGCCCAGAGGGGTTGTGGGGTCACTTTCTTGGAGATACGCAGCCCCTGCCTGGGTGTCCTGTGTAAGGTGCCCCAGGTGACCCTGCTGGGCAGTGGGTTGGAGCAAATCATCTCTGGAAGTCCCTTCCAGCCTCAGCCATTCTGGGATTTTGGGATTTGTTCCTGGCAGCATGCTCCTGCTGTGCACATTCCTGCAGAGCACCCAAAGTGCAGGTGCCGAGCTCCCCGCTGTCCCATGCTGGTCTTTTTCTCCCTTCCCACAAGACAAAAAGCGAGGTGTGTGAAGGGGGCAGCGAGAAGGGAGCCCTCACTGCCTCCACTACAGCATCACAGCTGCTGAGCTGCTGCTGTTCTGCCTCTTTCCACCACCCCACCCCAGGTTGTTAATTGAAATTTACTTTAAAAAAAATGTTTTTCAGGAAAACTTCAGGAAAACCAGATTTAATTCAAGTATTCATTCATATGACACGTAGATAAGCATTTCAATTTTTTATTATTAACATTTATTATTTTATTATTAACATTTTATTATTAACATTTATCATTAACAGTTCTAACGATGACATGGCTTTGATGAAGATTTATGCAAACCTGCCTGGAACTTGCTTTTCACTGACCTGCTTGGCACAACCACCAGATGTTTTAAGGTCAGTGCGTGCTGTGCATGGCCACACGGCTGCAGAAAACTTCTCTTTCCACCAGGACTGCCATGAAGTCCACGGGAGTTTTGCTGTTAGCTTAGAAAGGAGCAGGATGAATCAAGAGTTTTTTAATGAATTCTCAGATTCTCTTTATTTTAATTGACATCTTATTTCCCCTAAGAAGGCTGTGGTGTGTCTAGAGCCCCAGCCTGCTAGCATAGCAGTGCCGTATGATTTTCCAGTTTTACTGTGTGTTTTCCATTTCTGGGCTAGTCATTAAGCTGTGGGCTGTGGTTTTAATCTTGTGTAGGAGACTTGTTTTTCTCACCACGAAGTGAAACAGACTTTGGGAATAGGCAGGCACGTTCTTGAAAAGGCACCAGTTTGGCTTTCCAGGTTTCCTTGCCTTCAGCAGACGGGGAGGTTTCTCCCGAGGTGCTGGCACAGGGCTTGGCCAACACCTTCTTGTTGGTGGCTGCATTTAACCTTGCAGTGCTCCACAGCATGGGGAAATTGGTGAGAGGAGTGATGCTAAGCTCAAAGACAGGCAGGGGGCTCCGCGTGCTCAGTGGTATCGAGCGTGCCACGACTGCCTCGAGGTATCTCATCCCATCCCGCTGTGGGGTGAGCAGCTCCTGGTTTTGCTGCACCAGCACAGGAAGCCCACCCCTTCGGTGTGCTTCAACAGTTGCTGATAAAATGGGAAATATCTTAATCACAGGGATGCCGTAGCGTTGCTCAGAGATTTATTTGTCCCTTGGTAGAATAAGGACTAACTGCAGGTGTTGCTGCATGTGATGTTTTACAGCTGTTTCTCAAGTATGTGTAAGGAACCTTTCCCAAATGATGTGATTGTCAGCACTCGTTTATTTTCCTATGAGAAAAATAAATTCAAGTGAAGTTTTTCACCTGAAACTGAAGCCCTCCTCATGTGGGTGTGACACCTGTACACCTGCTGCAGGTCAGAAGCGTTAAATCCAGAGCAGCTCCAGCACTGGGGATGATGCTGTGCCAACCCAAACCTCTCAGGAGCAGCAATCCCACAGGTGTTGCTGTGGGACCCAGGGACAACGATGCGGCAGTGCTCCTTCTGCTGGTTGGGGTCAGCTGTGGGTTGTGTCTGGACACTTCCTGCTCCTTTTGCCTGATTTGTGCCATTTTTGTGCTCCCTGCCCAGCATCAGCTGGCTGTATGCAGAGTGCTCTTGTGCAAGGAACCAGTACCCAAAAAAGAAAAGCAAGTTTGTAGCCTCACAGCCTCACAGAATATCCCGAGTTGGAAGGGAGCCACGAGGACCATTGAGTCCAACCTCTAAGTTATTTTAAAACTGAAAAATCCATGAATCCATGTATTGTGTATTTTGTCTTGCTCACAGATATCCATTTTGTCAGGTGAAAGAAGGGTCATAAAGGTGGAGCAACTCTTTTGTTATTAAAGCAACAAATACAGCATACATCATGTATGCACCTAGCAATACAGTGCAATGATTGTGTGCCAAAAAAACTGTTAAAATATCTATGATTTTACATGAGAAACTGTAATTTCCCTGCCTTCATTTCAATCATAAGTTGCTCATGCTGAAATTAACTTCCAGAGAAAAACAGGAGCCTTTCAGGATGCTCCTGTAGTCAGAACTGGGCCACATGGTGTTCTTCACCACGCTGCATGCAATCAAAACAATACTTTACAATCCTATTTGAAAAAGAAAGGAAAAATAATAATGATAAAGAAACCCAATTAGAAAAAACCAAACCCCCGAGAATCTTTGCTCAGTTTAGTTTTGAGGACTGCCTATGCGAGTGATGAGAAATAGGATCTTCTCCAGCCGCACTGTTCTAAAAAACTAGGAAGTTCCTGTAAATGTGCGATGACATAAGTGGTTGTGATACTAACCTTCTGTGTCAGTCTCTCCCCTTACAACCAGGACTCTCCTCTTTGCCTCCCCCTTGCTCTCCAAGTGCTACCTAAACAAAAATCACCTTTTTTCCTGAGCTCTAGGCAGAAGTCCCGGCTGTTGGCCCATCTTCCATTTTACTGCCTAATTCCCCCCATTCCTAGAGACCTCACAGGCTTCGAAGTGTTTTGGCACCTGGGACAAGAGTTCGAGCTGCCCCAGCAGGGTTTTCCAGATGTCTTCTCCTGTCTTATGTGAATTTTCTTCATTAGAAGGCCAAATCCTGAGCCCTTCGTGAAGGTCGAGTCGCACGTGGACTTGTACCTTGCCTTCAGCTGGAAGAGATGGGTTGTTTGTAGGAAAGTCCTAGTTCCCGTAATTATAATTAAATATAATTATGTAATAATTACTTGCCTGTATATAATTATGCAATAATTATATATATATAAAGTAAAGCTGCAATAAAAATAAATCACAGCCAGGCTGGCTGTTAATTGTAGATCGCTGCTGCATAAAAAGAGCTGCAAAACGCCAAGGCAGAGACTACTCATGTGAGACCAGCCTTCTGGATGCTTTAATAAATAAAGATAATTTTTGTACTTTTTGCAGCTCTCGGAACATGCGGGGCATTGGTCATGGGCAATGTTTTTGTGCTTCTGTGGGTTTTTGGGGGTAAGATTAATGTTCAAGGGGCTTCACTGACAGAGAGCTGCCTTTTTGGCAGCTTTGTGTCCCCAGGGCAGCCGGCTGGGGTGGTGCACGGAGCTGATGGTGAGCACCGTGCAGACACACAGGTACACCACTGTCACATTTGGGATGAGTAACTTCTCACATGCAGATGGCAGGATTGTTCTAGGAGTGCTCTAGAAAATGGGAAAAAAAAATTAAGAATTTTCTAAGTCGCTGCTATGAACGGTCTTGGATTCTTTTAGTCTCTGTTGAGAAGAAAAATCTGTATTAAGCTGAATGGGAGTGGTCTCTCTGCTGGAAAACAAACACAGGCCAAGCACAGAGGGGCCGAGATACACAGTGATATCCCAGTTTGGGTTTGCTATCCCAAACTCTTTTTGGTTTCCCCTGCCCCTCCCCATGGCCGTGAGCCTGGTGCCATCCGCAGCACCTGCCCTACCTGCGTGATGCTCTGCAGGCTCCACATGGCACGGGCAGCACCAGGAGCCCTCCCCACAGAAACGAGGTTGGAGGTGTGGGAGAAACCACTCCAGCCCTGGGGCTTTTGGCTTAAAGTCTGGCTACACGAACAGAAATAAAAGGGGCTGCGTCCGGTGAGCTGGTGCAAGAAGAAAGCGCACGGCGCTGGGTGCTTGCCTTTGCACAGCTTTCACTTCCTCCGCGCATCTCGCTTTCTGTTTCCACTCTCTGCCGCGTTGCTGCCCTCCGGGTGCTTTTTTCTTTCCATTCATCTGGCCCTTTTATCTTTCGGCCCCAGGTTCAAAAGCTCACGCAGTTTCAGCTCTGTGGCTCTGAGCTGTCAGCCACACAGGATGGCTGTAACCGCGGAGAGGGCGAGCGCAGCCCGGCTTCCTTCTTGCGGGGCCCGTGTTTGTCAGCTCAGCTTTTTTTCACAAAAAAGAGCTTTTCACAAAAAGCCCTGCACGTGTCCAGCACAGACACACCTGCTCTTGAGAGCAAGTCTCATGCTCACCATGGTTTTGTCCTTCAAGAGGAATTCTGCCTTTTGGAGGAAAATTGGAAATGAATAAAGGGATTTGGTAAGGAAAATCAGGCATTCGGCTGTGCAGTTTGTTAAGCAAACCGTAAGAAGGGGCACTGAGGTTTGTTGGCCAGGTGATGCACAGGTGCAGCACTTCTTGCATTTCCCGAAAGCAACAGGATTGCTTGAATCATGTTAGTGACAAATTCAGGCCTTTACCCTGAAAGAAAGCAATGTCTGCCCATAGGAGAAACCCAACACTTCTGGCAGCACATGACAGCAGAGTGCTTTGCATTTTACCCTTATTTATATTCCAGCTTAAAAATAAGTTCAGATAAACAATTTAGACACTTGCAAACTACAGAACACGATTTGTCTGCCAGGATTGTGCTGGGGGAATGGACAGCGATGGCTGCAAAAACAGGCAAAAGCATTCGCAGACCAGAGAGGTAACAGACGTGATTTTGAAATTATTTTTAATGTAGGCACACCAAGTTTTGTTTCACTTCTTTAAGGTAATCAAAGCAACAGAAATGTCCAGATTTTTCTTTGTTTAACCTCTCTGCAGCTGCATTTCAACCAGAGCTCACTCCATGTCGTCACCACGGCTCTGCCATGGAGCATCTGGGTGCAGCTGGAGCCCGGCTGCGCTGCGGAGCTCCCGGCAGCTCTGGCTGCGGCCGGCGGCTGTTTCGGGGGAAGCGGTGGTGGGAGGCGGTGGCGGGGAGGTGACGGCTGGCACCGGGACGCTGGTGGCCGGGAGCCCTTTGCTGCTTGCTGCGTGGCCGTGGTCCTGAAACCAGGAGCTCTTGGAGAGCTGTGTGCGTGGTGGGAAGGTTTTTTTCCTTCCTTGCTGCTTTTTGAGCCTTCCTGAGCAGAGTGGGTTGGAAAAGGAAGCCGCTGCTGGTAAGGAGGCTCGGTGACCGCGGTTGGTGTAGGGCAGGTCTGTGTCCCTTAGGGGTCCTGCGTGGCACCCCTGGGGTGGTGCCAGGGGGAGACACCCTGCTGGGGACAGTGGTAAATGGTGGCACGGTCCAGGTAAATGGTGTGGCAGGAGAAAATGGTGGACAGAATGGGAGGTCCTGGGGGTCTCAGGGCACAAAACCAGTGACCACAAGGAGCAAATTCAACCCTAGGGAATAGGAAGCCTCATAAGAAACCTTGCAACATGGAGGGGGCCGGTGGCACTTCCAGGTGATGTCTCTACCTTTGTGAAGGCACCAAGAGCACAGAGGCTTTGCTTTTGCTCATGCTTACATCCAGCTGCTGGGCCTGCTTTACCAGGTCATTTGGGAGTGGGATGGGATGAGAGCAGGCAGCCGGGGTGATGCCAAGCTCAAACATCGCCGTGTGTACCTGCAGGCGGCACACAACCCCCCCTCAGGGCTGCTAGCCCAAAACGACATGGGAGCTGGGAGTTTTCCCTGCACGGTCCCTGTGACATTCTCACCTCCAGGAGCTGACACCTGGGAAAATTCCTACACCCACAGCTCCACGTCTGTAGGCAGTTTCACGGCCGGGCCGCCGGAGAAGTGCTGAGCAGGCTGACTGGAAACGCCTGCTGGCGCGGGCCGCCGGCCCGGCCGATCCAAGCGAAACTCTGCAATTCCCTTTTTCATAAAATGCTACGTATTTCACTTTTCTTTTGAAAGCATGTTTCTTCCCCCGAAATGCTGCCGTTAGGAAGCCAAGGGTTAGGTGGGTACGGCGGTGAGTGGCACTGTGGCCGGTCTCTGCTGTCCGTGGCTCCAGCCGGCGACCGCAGGTGCTGGAGGCTGAGGGGAGCCTGGTGCTATTGGCAAAGACCCCAGAGTCCAGGTTTTTCACCAGATGCTGAGCTTTGGGACCAAGGAGAGGTGCTGACAGGATGGTGGCAGCCTGAGCAGGCCCGAAGAGGATGAAGAGCCCATCGTGCCGAGCCACAGGGCCTGCAGCTGGTGCCTCCCTGCCACCTTTGTGCTGCTCGGGGTTAGCCATGAGGAGCTGGCCCGGCATCCCGCGCTGGCAGCAGGCGAAGGCCTCAGGGTCCCGCACACACGGCTTTCGCTTTACTTTACAATAAGAAGGAAGAGAAACTCCCCAGCACTGGGCGTGGGCTCCTGCAGGGAAGCGAGCTCGGACCGTAAGCGCTCCCTGACGGCTTTTCCTTGGGGGTGCCCTCCGCAAGCCCTGAGGCAGGGCTGCTCCTCCTCGGGGGCCACACGGCGATTAGTTCCACACCCATCGCTCCTCTCCCTTCGAGCAATAAACCAGCAGCAGCAAAAGGCCACACGCACGTGTTCTGCTGTGGTTCTCCACGCTCGCCTCACTCCCTGCACATCACCTCAGCGCCCAGGGAGATGATGTGCAGAAAGGGCCGGGCCTCCCCGGCCTGCGTGCACGTCACGGTGATACTTGTGGATTAAAAAAAAGGGAGAAAAAGGGGAACCCAAATGGCAATATTTGCTTGACAGGAAGTAGCTGGTTTATAAATCACATCTCTAGTCTAAGGGGCTGCTTTATATTTGAGACAACTGAATGGGTAACTTCCCGCCAAAATTAAATATATAGATATACTTACTGAGTGTACCATTTCATGCTTTTCAAGCACAGATTGGTTTGGGACCAAGAGATGGAATTAAAACACAAAGAAAATGAAAAGAAATGTTCTGATGTGAGACCAGATGGAAGCAGGCAAGGACTTTTTGTCAGGTAGTGTAGTGACAGGACAAGGGGTGCTGGCTTTAAACTGGAAGAGAGAGGGATTAGATTGGATATAAGGAAGAAATTCGTCACCCTGAGGGTGGTGAGGCACTGGCACAGGCTGCCCAGAGAAGCTGTGGATGCCCCATCCCTGGAAGTGTTTATGGCCAGGCTGGGGCTTTGAGCAACCTGGGCTGGTGGGAGGTATCCCTGCCATGGCAGGAGGCTTGAATTAGGTGGGCTTTAAGGTCCCTTCCAACCCAGACCATTCTATGGCTGTATGAAATGTCATCAGATTTTTTACTAGCATGCAAAAAACCCTACAAATATATGTAAAAAATATAGATAATATGTATTCCAATAACTAAAAAGCAAGCTCTGGAATTGTCTCCTGGTTGTTTCCCACTCTGTGGTGTTGCTGCCCCTGCAGCAGTGGGGCCCAATGGGGCCACGTGAGTCCTGCAGCACTGATGGGCTTGTAGGGTGCTGTGTCCCAAGGCAATGGAAGGTATCGTTGCAGTGTGTGGATTGCTTTTATCCACATGGAATTAAACCATTTGTAGTAAATAAATGATGGCCTATCACCAAACCCCTCTTTTCCAACAGCCACCACCAGGGATGTGTTCTCCTGCTCGTTCAAGATGAGGCAGGATGGGACGATGGTGCCAAGGGCGGGTGCTGGCCACATCCAATCTGGGGGTTGCATTTATCTGCACAAAACTTGGCCCAAACATCTCCTGCACCTTGCTGGAGTGCCAGCTGCTGGCACTTGTGCCATTTAGGGGTTCCTGCCTGAAAATCAAGGTTCCCCAATGATGTCCCTATGGGCAGGGGGGCAATGGGGTTGTTCTGGGCATGCATGGGTGGGATGCTGAGTGCTTGTAGCCCTGGTGGGCACCGTTGCTGCTGTCAGAACAGAAATCACCTCCTACCACCCATGCTGATGTCACCCCATAGAAAGAAACCGTCTGACCGAGGGCTCTTTCAATTGCTTTTGGGGAATTTGGCTCCATGGTCAGAGTACTGATAATGGGAGTCCTAAGTGGAACCGAGTAAATGCCCCATTCATAGAAGGAAAGCAGCAAAAAAAAGCTATGGCAGAAAAAAATAAAAGAAAAAGAAAACAAAATAATACCCACATCTCTGGAGCCCCCAGACACCCCAAATTCCCCCAGTGCAGGAAGCAGCAGCTCCCCGTGGGTTTATGGGCATCACAGCAGCCAAGGCTCTGGCACTGGCCAGCCCGGTACAGCCTCAGCATCAATGAGCTGCTAGGGACAGAAATAAACTTTCCCGGCTGAGAAACAGCCCAAGGGAGGGAGTGCAGGGGAACTGAAAACACGCGGGAGACTGAAAAATTGGGAAAGGAATGGCTGACGGAGTACATGTTCTGGGGAAGTCTATTTTTAGGTTTATGTTAATTAATAGGTACCCTGACATGCAAACTTAGGCAAGGACTTCAGTTCCCCCTGGCTTCCCAAAGGCATGGGCAAATCATCCAAACTTTTTCATTACTTTAGTGTTGAATAAACAGCAAAATGGAGTCACTGCACCGGGCTGTGCCATACGGTTTGTGCAGTTTGGCTCCAGCAGCGTTTGCTCGGCCACACTCTTGCTCGGTGCCGCTCGTGCAGCAGGTGCAAGGGTGGCCCTGGCCATGCACAGGAGCTGGAGGCAAATCCTGGGGCTGGGGCAGCAGCTCAGAAACCACACAACACATTTTTCTTTCAAAAAACGTAATTTAATCCATTAATTCCACAGCATTGCCATCATACACACCAGCACGATACCGTAGTACACTGGACAGAGATCCAAGAAGATGCAGTTACCCAGCAATACTCCTTTTTTTTTTTCTTTTTTTAATTTTAACTATTTCTTTGTTAAAAACCAAACCCTTAAAGATGGGAACACCGCTGGCAGTCCTCGACAGCAGGTTAGCGGAACGTGCGAGGTTCACTTCTCTCCAGCAAGTTAAAGGCACTTATCGGGTGAGCACAACCCCAGGCTGACCAGGCTTCCTGACCCAAGTGCCCGAAAATCTGAAGCATGAGCCAGGAGGGTCAGGGGTGACAGCGGAGAGGGCAGTGGGGACCCTACACCATCCCTGCTCGCTGCACCCCACTGGCACACCTCCAGGCTTTTCAGTTTTAAAGCTGAGCCCAAGCTTTTCTGCACCCCGCGGGGGGGATTTTGGCCTCAGAGGTGAAAACACGGACGTTTTACAGAGCAGAAATACAAAACCAGCAGCCAGCTATCGCCACGTGCAGCTAACAGCAGCAAGACAACCAGGAGATGCAGGGAAGCAAACACCCCCCGAACACAGGCATCTTTTTTTTTTTTTTCTGCATAGATTCCAAAAACGCAAGTGAAATGAGCGGAGTTTACGCTGCCAGCCTGCAGGCGAGCATCTTGCTGTCAGAGCGGGCTCGGAAAGCACCTCGGCAAGGCAAGGCAGCCCCAAAGGGCCCAAACTCCAGCCCTGCAGGGCTGGCACTCACAACCCGGCCTGCACCACTTCTGAGAAAGAAGGGGAAAAAAAAATAAATCGTTTCTGTAAATCACATTTATGGCAGGGGATGGAAATCTAATGCAGCTCTCGCCTTGCTGCAAACACCCTGAACAAGTCGTCAGCCCAACACTTGGCTACGAGGAATTTGACACCGAGGAAAAAAATCCAAATGCAGGCAGCGGAGCTCTCTGCTCCTGGCCGTGGCCAGCTCTGGGGTGGGAGCTGGGGCCCTGCTCCGGCCCTGGGACAGAGAAATTAAGGCTGGAGACAGAGCTCCCAGCTCGCCCAGTGCCCATCCTCCTAAAAACGTGGGGGGCAGCAGAGGGGGGCACAGCAGACAGCACGGTGATGGGGACGGATAGCAGACGTGAGGCCAGCCCAAAGGCAGAGGTGAGCAACAACCATATATAATACATTTAATATGCCGCTTAGATTTTTAACATAGATTTCTTTCTTTTATTATTATTATTATTTCTGACACTGGTGAGTCATTTAAATATTTAGCCCAGACAATAAAATATAAAAACATCTACTGTATGTGCCTGCTGATTCTAACAATAGTCACAATATTAGGGCCCGGTGAATGTTATTATAGAAGAATATCTTAAGTCCATGTCATACATACATTATGAACTTACAAATAAATAACTCTACAAAAATCCTGTCTTCTCTCCATAGTTTTATGTGATCGGCAAAAAAGGCTCTTTCTGGTGATGGCAAATTAGGAATTGCACATTTAGTTAGACGAGTACATTACTGGTGCATCACCAAGTCAACCACTAGTCAACAAAAAGACATATCATATGAAACAATTTTTTAAATTTTTATTTTACATCTTTATACATAAAACTTCCAAGGTAACTCTTTGAATCCAACTGAATGTTAATAGCACATCTAAAAATGAATGTCAGGTAGTCAACATTCACAAAATGTTGAAAACTGATTAAAATGTACATATTACTGAAAGCTACAACTTCACTACGAGGCAGGCATGTATTTTTTGACTTGTATAGCACCGTCAAGTACAGTCTCTTTATTTAAAACTACAGTGAAGGATAAAAAAGTAGTCAATGGTAAAATATTGTTCAACTTAAAATCTCTAAGCAACCAAAAATAAAGTTAAACTACCCTCTCTTCTCATCCATGATTTATAATGTTATAAGTACTGTACATTTTCTGTAATAATATTATTAAAATGCCTGATATTTAGTGGCACGAGTAAAAAAATTAAAATAAATTAAGAAGCAGAGGCCAATCACCGGACATAAAGCTTCGGACACGACCAATGACTAACACTGATTTTCTGGTGCGCCACCGTGGACATCAGCATTTGTACAGACACAGAAGCGAAGGACAGGCGAGCTCCATCTCTGCTCTGACGGCGTCTCGGTTTACTTTGCCGGCATCTTCTCTGCCATGTGCTTCTGCTGGCTCTCGGCATGTCTGGGAGGAGGGAAAGAAGCAGCCCTGTTACTGGTAATCAGTGGGAGGGAGGCAAACCCACACCGATGGAGGCATGGCCAGAGCTGTGCTGCTCTGGCAGCACTTCCCAAGGAAATGCAGCCCTGAGAGAGGCCAGGGGTGGGCTGGCTCGGCTGCTCCAGGTCAGGAAGGAAATGCTTCCCCGGCCAGGAAACACCTTCCCTGCGGGGTCTGCTTCAGCCTCAGGCACTTCCTCATCTTCCGCAGGGAACTGAGGCTTTCTTGGCCACAAACAATGCCAGGATGTGGCACCGCCACCGCGGCGCTGCCCGGGCTGCCAAATCCCTCTGCTTACTGAACCCCTGCTCACTGCATTTTGGAAGCGAAGCGTTTTCCAAAGCACAGGAGACACCTGTGCAGGGTCGAGCCTGCTTTTCTGGTGCTTGTCTCCCTGCAGCTCCTGCTTTTGTGGGATTTTGGCCCCCAAACCCTGAGTGCTTTGTCACCGCCAACCCAAATCGTCTAGGACCGAAACTCTGCTAAAAGAAGCCCCGTCCACATTGCCACCACAGAGCCAGGTCCTGAGCGAAGGGAAGCGCACATGGACCCCCCCTCACCTGGTCAGGTCCTCAATGTCCACCAGCATCGCGTCCTGCTCCGTGTGCAGCTCGTCCCGGATGAGCAGCAGCTGCACCAGCTCCTCGTTCAAGCCTGGGGCCGGAGAGAAAGGCGGGGAGTTGGTGCTGTGCCAGGGGGTGAGTTTGTAATATTGTAATTGAATAAATTTCCTAGTGCTTCGGGGGTTTTAGCCCCAGTGCTACAGCTTTTGAAGAGTCCTGGGCAATAAAAACTGCAGCAAGCATCCAGCCTGGGGGTATTTAGGCACCACTTGCCCCCCTGAGCAGCATCCCTGCCTGTCATGTGAACATGGGAAGAGGAGCGGCTGCTGCTGCCCGCCTGCGGGCAGAAACCAGGGGCAGTCTCCGAGCAGCTCAACATCCCTAGCAGAGGGCTCTGGGGCTGCCAGGAGGGTTGCTAATTAACAAACGTGAGCAATTACAGAGCAGCAAGGGAGCCCAAAAAACATTTTTTTCATTTTTTTGACCTACAGCCACCGGAGAAGTTTCCTCCAAGATTAATTAATTGTTGGCACTGGAAGGTGGAGATGCCTGGGGGAAAAACCCTGGATCCTTTGGAGAGAGCAAAGACAGACAAGGAGGCAAATGCAAGGACCCATGAAACACGTTAACTCGCTGCAAGCTGCCTGAGCAGCACGTTCACCAGAATCTATGTGCCCAGGCTGCCTGCTAGTCTGGAGTTTCCCCCTTTGTGGATATTCCTGATGCCACAGCACAGCATCACAGGAAAACGCAGCCATAAAGCTGCATAAAGGCATAAAACTGGCAGCAGCTTCCAGATGTCCTGAGACTATTTTTACCCGACAAGGTTTTGAGTTACAAACGATGCGTCAGGTGCTGGAGCAATGCTGCCACCACCATCCCTACGTTACAGAGCACTCCGAGTGCTTTGGGGAGAAAAAAAAAGGCAAAAAGGAGAAGAATCTGGCAAAAAATCCACCTCCAGCTTCTGCAGTGCCACTTGTATTTGTGTTATTGTACATTTACCAACATTTTTATGTATACCCTGAAGTAGATGGGACATGCCAAAGAAGAATTAAACAAATATCACTTACTTTCTATCTGTGAGTGGAGATCATTGACTATCACTTGTAGCTGCCCGATAGTCATGTCTCTCAAATCAGTGGGTTTTAAGCTCCTCTTCATCAGGCATTCGCTTATATGAGGCATATGTGGCAGCTGGAAATAAAGTTTAAACTCTTTAATTATTTCCCTGAATTATCTGTAATTGTTTTCACTTGTAATTATTTACAATAAAGCCAGAGGAGCGATGGGCAGAGGTCCCAGCCCCGCACTTACAAGATCAGCTACCGGAGATTTCTTCCTGTTCTGCTTTTCCACCTCCACCTGCATTTTGGCCATGGGCTTTGCCATAGCCAAGGCCATTTTGGCTTCGGCTTGGAGTTTCTTTTGCCTGGTGAGAAAATCCATGTCATCGAGGGACTCGGACTCCTCCTCGGTCGTGTCTCTGTCGGAGTAGGAAGAGCTCTGCTTGCTCTAGGGAAGCAGACACGCAGCCGTTACAGCCCGGCACCGCCACCGCCGCCGCCAGCGGGGACAGAGCAAAGCAGTTGGCTTGCACCTTGTTGCCTTTTTGTGCGCTCACAAATGGCATGATTTCTACAGGCAAGGTGAAACATACTTTTTTTTTTAAATTATTTTTTAAAAATTAAATCTGCAAGATTATTTTTAAAAACCAAGCAGTGATTTTGCCTCCTTTGAGTACCAATGGCAGCTTGAGCACATGAAATTCAAAGGGGAGCCAGGCACATCAATGGGTGTTTAGAGGATGGGCTGGTTAATCTGGAGGAAAGCCTAGCACATGTCTGGGGCCTCTGTGTTATATTCACAGAGGAAAAGAGGAGATGAAAGCTGGTGGGAGCTGATATGGCTTCGAATCCATTACTGCCTGGGCAATTACCAGACCCACGGAGAAAGGAGGGCGGAGAAGGGACATTGCCCATGGATGTGGCTGGTGTCAGCAGCAGGTCTCTGCTACCCAGGGGCAATGTGCTATCTGCCACTCAGCACCCTGCATTTCTTTTATTGACCACTGAAGATGCTGCTCTGGGGTTTAGTGTTGCTGTTTTAATAGGCTCGGCTCTCCACGGGTTCCCATTAGGGATGGCGTTAAGGTTTTTGTGCCCCACACCCCTGTGAGAGGCTCCCCCAGACCTACCATGGGTGACAAAGGCGTGTCCAGGCTGGTCTCTGTCTTGCTGTCATCGGCGTCGCTGTCCTTGTCGCTGCCGCTGTCGTTCACGAAGCAGATCTGCAGGTTCATCCCGCTTTGGAGCCTGCAGGGGAAGGAGAGGTGACAACACGGGGATGGGACGGGGATGGGGACAGGAATGGGGCTGGACACCGCGCTGGGATCCTGCGCTTCCCCCCACCATGTCGACAGGGCCTGCAGGCAAGGTACTGCAGCACCAGCAGCAGCAGGCCCTGCTTGCCTGATTTTGCACTGACCTAAGAAAAATATAACCACTTTTTTTCCCTCAGAAGATGGTCCCAGAGCTGTTATTTGACGTGGAAACACACCAAAAACACCTCCACTCTCACACGCTGAGAGGAACCGCCTCGGTGCCAGGCTGTGGCCCGATGCAGCTGCCTCTCCTCCGTGGCCATGCCCTGTGGTGGACCTGCAACACCGATGCCCTGCTCGGCCCCAAAGCCCCACCAGCAGCAGAGCAGGGCCAAATGCTGGTGCTGATGGTGACAAATCCCAGGCAGGCTGCCTCCTCTGAGCCAGGCCAGGTTTTTAAGGGGCATCCCCAAGGAACTGAGAGCGCCCGGCTCCGCAACGCTAAAGTCTCTACCCGATACAAAGCCTCTACCACCATCTATTGATGAACTTCAGAACTGCTGAGATACCGCAGAGCTTCGTCATCGCGGGTGGCCTTTAATACCAAATAACGTGGGATGACCAAAATGATTTATTTAGGAGGGCAGTAAGCCTGTATGTGGCCAAGAGGCAGCGCTGCATCGCACGGCTGCTTCTACAGCTGAAACCTCCCCGGTTTTTGCTCAAATAACCACAGTTAGCAATCAGCTCCTAAGTGAGAGGGAGAAGGGAAGCAGCACTGCCCCAAACCCCACTGCTGAGCAAGGCAAGGGCAGGAGGGAGGGGAGGAGGCACCCCTGTCACCCAGCGCAGTCTCCCAAATCCCAGATGATTTCACTCCCGCTACCACTTGAGTTATGAGCCGTGATATCGCACAGATTTCCAGCTCATCGATGACCACATTCGGTAGCTTCAGGCCAAGCACTGACCCCTCCAGAACCAGCACTGGCCCTGCTGAATGCAGGCAGTCTGCTCCCAGTTCAGCCATTCCCACATCCCAGTCAGCCCTGTGCAGCTGACTGGCTGGGGCAGGCTTGGAGCAGCACACGTGGTGTACTGAGAACTGGGTGAAACCACTTCATCTGGTGCCTCTGGTCAGATAAACATCTCATAGCACACCAGGAAGTGACTCCTTTTACAAAACCATATTTATGAAACCCCACAGTGGCGTTCATCGGGCACAGCAGCTGATGACTGCAGTTATCAGCCTTCCCGCTGTGTGTCCCAGGCACCTGACGTCAGGGCCCGGCCCATTTGCCTCCTACAGATCCTGCTCAGTCTTTGCTCATGTTCCAAATTCGTATTAAAAAATATCCCCAGGAAGCAGAGGTTTCCTGTGCCAGCACTACCAGGCCGCACCACCACGTGCCTAAGATGGGGGCAGGCCCACGCACAAGCTCTGCAACAAGGGGGTTTATATCTGTACTTACAGGCAGCAAGCTCTAATTTTACATTAGGTTTCGTGGTATTGTTCATTCATTACTCTACGTTAGCATTAATAATTACACACAGGCTGTTAAGCCAGGCTAAATAAACATGGGTACCCAGGACGGGGGGCAGGATGCTGCCTTCGGCTTGGCTTAAAACTGCTTCACGCAGAAAGGGAAGAGCAAGTGCAAAATGGGGCCTGCGGGATGCCTGCGTGTCAAGAGTGTGACCTAAATGCCCAAACCACACGTCTGCTAGCAGAGAGGTACCTCTGGGAGCACTGGAGTGGTAGGAACAGGATGCTGGCCATGTTGTAAAAAGCCTGGATTAAAGCAGTGAGCAGCTGAGAGGCAGCGACCGGCCTGGAAGAGGATGCTACAGCGCGTGGCTGTGCCCTGTACTTGCCTCATGGTACTGGGACGAGGACTGGGAGCACCACGTGGAGGGACAGGGACAGGGACTGTCACCCCCCTCACATCCAGCCTGTGTCCATGTGGCACCTGAAACATGGCTAAGGGACTGAGCAGTGCCAGCCCCTTCTCCAGGAGCGGGTCGGCCTCTGCTGGTTCTGAGAGCCTGTGGGTGTCCTGACACACGCAGCGTGTACCAGTGCTTTGCCCGGGCTATAAATACTAACAAAAAGCCAAAGCATTCAGGTACACCTGGTATTTTCTCATGGCACAGCTGCCAAACCCTGCTGCGCAGCGTTAATTAGCCCTGCACCGTAATTACGAGGTAGTGGTTACTGGTTTAGCTGTAACTACACAGCGCACAGCAGCTTTCCCTTTCAGATGCCTTCCAGCTCAGTCGAATTTTGCAACTGCACCTCTCTGCTGTGCTAGCAGCATTCCTCCTGCTTTTACACCTCTCCCAGGTTTTTTGTGGCCATGCCACTGGCAGCAGTCTGTCAGTACCCGGGTGTGGGAGGCTTTCCAAGTGCTGTGGGCCCCCCCCGGCAGCTGAACACATCCAGGCCCTCCCCAGCACACCTGGGGCCCGTCCCCATCACACCACAGCTCACAAGCCCCCAGGTCAGGACCACGCTGCAGCTCTGCTCCCTGCACACTCGTTTCCCCAAATTTCTTGTCTGGAAAGCTGGAGACCTTGCTGTATCCCCAGGCAATGCTGCAGGTATTTCAGGAGGCTCAACACAGAGATTCCCATGGCAAACCCCGCTACCCAGCCCTTCTCCCACCCCAGCCCCAGCTCCCCCCACCATCACCCGTGCCCCACGTACCGGGAGGAGAGGCTGGGCTTGCCGCTCTTGCTGCAGCTGGTGTACAGTCCCGGGCCATCGTCGAAGAAGCTGCCCAGTGCCAACTTCTGCCTGATGGACTCGCGCTCATTCTTCTGCGCCTGCAAGGGAAGGAGCGCAGGGAGGTGTCAGGCGGGCAGTGGGGTCACTGGCACCGCGGCCAGGCCCGTGCACAAGGGGGCTCAGCACCCGGGGAGCCTTCCTGATGCACATAGGGACTTATATCCGCTGAGATCTCGGGGTACACACAGCCACCGAGGCTGTGTTGGCACCAGCAGTGCCTCCACTTCCCCCAGAGGCACCGTCCCAAATTACATGGTCCTCTGGGCAACCGACCTGCAGGTGGGTTTTTAACCGTTGCCATCAAATTATCCATGGCTTTAAAAATGCATTCATGCGTGTGTGTATTTGGGATAAAGTCAGGCTACAAAATGATTTACGAGGAATCACCCATCGATGGCTGTGGAAGTAATTGGTGTGCAGTAAGTGAGAATCACAGATCCAGACCCAAATTAACAGCACTACCACACCGCTGGCTGTCGGTAACAGATTATGCGCCCATGCTGGCTACAACTTCTTAAAAGAAGGCAAATATATTGGCAGAAGGAACATTTGGAAGCCCTGAAACATTGCATTTCAGTGTAACACAGAACAACTTCCCAGGGATACCCAACAGCAGAAACCGTAGCAGGCAGGCACGGACCGCAACCCACGCTGCCCATATAGACGTGCCTCCCATATTTCACCTAACTAAAATAAAATATCTTTATCTGACAGAAGGAAGTGACATATCACGAAACGTATATCATTAGCTACAAATAGCTAATCATTTAATGCAACTCTGGTGCTGACCGCTGCCATTACATTGCCAATCCCTTACCAAAACACATGCTTCATTTGTAACCTAATTCCTTTTTCACCACTACAAATTACTCAAAAATATTAAAAGTAATCCCCCCGGCATCAAGGGGTACTGGATTTTCCAAGTTCAGCTCCTGTTCTCAAAAGTCACAACCTAGACCGCCTGGATATTATTTTTTTTATGCTGTTTTTTAAACTTTGAGTAGGCAAGGCCTCAGTCTGCATTTCGAGGAAACACAGCCAGCCCTGCTGGTGGTAGCAGCACAGAGACTAAAGTAAAAATAGATCAGAGACAACGCTCGAAAAACATAAGGCAAACACCCTCGAATAATTTTTCTTCTTTTTTTTCCCATGCAAGCCACTGCTTAGTGAAGATGCTCCCGGCCTGGCAGCCTTCCCCCCCCCTTGGGGATCTCGGGAGAGAGGCCGCTATTTGGAGGAGCAACCAAGGAGAGACGAAGCAACAAGACGTACCGCAGGGAAACCAGATCTTTCCGTGGGGTAAGGGCAGGGCGGGGGCTGCCCACGTGTGTCCCTCGTGCTGCCCATCGCGGCCCCTGGCCACGCGTGAGCAGGGCTGGAAGCAATACTGGTAGATTAATGTAGACTGGGCAGCCTCCTCCTTCAAAAAGAGGTTACTGGCGACCCGGCTCGGAGCTCAGCTGCTTCCGAGTGCCAGATGCATCCCCGGGTACGTCCCCAAGGCACGTTAATATTTCATGAAAGCACGGATACTCCTCCTCCCTTCTGCCACCGAGGCGATCCTCGCCCTTACCCTCCCATCTGCCTCTTTTCCATGCCCAGGCTTTCCCGTCTTGCCCAGACACCGGGAGCCAGAGGCACCTCCACGGGCTGCTGCCGGACAGAGGACCCCATCCCATCCCATCCCATCCCATCCCATCCCATCCCATCCCATCCCATCCCATCCCATCCCATCCCATCCCCAAAATCGCTGTTTTGCCTTAAAACACACAGAGCTGCAGACCACTCTCACGCATTTTCCCCCTTCAGACGGTGCTCTCTCTCTCCAGACCTTTCATAATTTCGCCCCGTGTCCCGACGAGGCTGCAGCTGCTCCCCGTTTGACATCTGTACATTTAATCAATGTGCAATTTGTTTTCTCCGCCAGGCCGTTATTGAGGATCCTAAATAACAGTATTCCCAGTACCGAACTCAGCGTCTCCCATTTTATAAAACAGACACAGGATAATGACCATAAAGAAATCGAGAGCCCTATTTGTTATTATAAAATAGGGAACAGTTACTAAGAAATGTAATATGCCTGAGGGAGCTGAACTTTATGCTTTAGATAAATTACCCACCAGCTGCATTATACATCCTGAGCTGAGCACTGAAAACTGGAAATTGAGAAGGAAAATTGCACGTGTTTTTTTTTTTTTTTTGACTATCAAACATCCTTTGTATATAAAAAAAAATGTGTTGAGTAAAATGTAAAGGTAGTAGCAAGGAAAATATAAAAACATGTTATTTAAATATGCATTTTGACATGGAAATGAAAACCACACGTATTTCCAAAAGGGGGGTCAGTCGTATTGCTGAAGGCTGCTCTGTTAGCCTGTGATTTTTACAGGACACGGTGGGATTCCTGCTTCACTGGTGGATGAGGTCCCCAAACCAGGTGGGAGCATTTCCAAGTGAGGTGCAGCCCCCATGAGAGGAAGGCATCTCGCTGGGAGGAGCTGAGGCTGCCAGACGCTGCTCCTCCACCCCGCACGCTGCAATTATTGCTGTTTGCACGCCTACTGCAATTTTCTCTCCGCTGTTTGCTGATTGTGCAGAGCAATTTGTGCTCTTAATCACCGCTCCGCTCTGCTCCACGTGCGCCTGCCCCGACACATCGCGGCGAGGCCGTCCCCGTTCCTTGGAGAGAGCTCGTCGGCACCAGCAGCAAACACCTTCCGTGTTTGCCAGTGGGGAAAAAATAATAATAATAAAACATCTTTTTTTAAAAAAAAAAACCGTTGTTGGGTTGATGTTTTCTGCTGCTTTCTGCCCGTGCCCGTTTCTGTCCCAGCACCCTGCTGCCTCCTGCAGCTCCTCCGGTGCACGGGATGGGCACGAAGGTGGCGAGTGCCGAGTGCTGCCCCGTTCATTAGCGTTACACCGCTATGGCTGCCTGACCCATTTTAGCTCTTCCTGACCCATTTTTGAATGTATTTTCTCCTGCACATACACAGCAATCGGTGAGCACGGGAATTTCCAACTCTCAGCTTACAGAGCCATTCATCCCTACCTCCCCGTGTACGCCCATCTTGATTTGAGTGTGGAGGCACCACGAAAATCCCATCTTTGGCCAAGACCCCAAATCTTGTCCAACGTGTGCCTGCTTCCCACACAAGCCCTGTCCTTTGGGGTGCATCGAGGCGATCCTAACAGGATTTCCGTGTTTTCTGGGAAGAGCAGCCCGCCCCATATCCCCACGCTGTATTATTTATGTCCCTTGAGGGGCGGCTCTGTTCGTCCACCCCGCTTGGCTGGCTGTATTAGCGGCCTTCACTCCTTGCAGCCATCGCCCAAAATAGCAAGCCGAGAGTGCACATGAAATATTTATCCCCGTTTCAGGTGTAGCAGCACTTTGCCGGGCTCCACCATCGCGCTTCGGGACCATCCACCTCCAGCAGGGACGTTTCTGGGGCTGGGACGATCGGTACGAGCCAGGGACGAGCAGAGGCACTGCTTGTTAATACCCTGCCCAAAATGTTTGGAAGGAAAGAGCCATGCAGCAAATACCAGGCTGATGAATGTTGTAAATATTCAGGCAGGACCAAGAGCCTGCAGGGCAGTGCCAGCCCTGTCTGAGCGAGGGGTTAAAACCTATGGGGGACATCAGGGGACATGGCCCCACCAGCCCGGGGCTGCCTGGTCCCCACGGGAGCACCCGGACGCTATTTTTTGCCAGGGTCTGTCATTACCAGACATGGACAATTACTATATTTAAAGTCCCAGGCCCGTACGCAGCGCCTTTTTTTATCTCCGTGAAGTACAAAGGCTATGATTGGGTTTACCAACAGAAATTCTAATTGCACAACACTTGTTTTGATGGGTGGATGTGCCGTAAAATACAAAATAAGGTCAACCCTTCGTATTCTCTCAAGCCACGTGGCACGGTGCCTTAAAAATTACAGGTTTCGTGGCATGAGGAGGGGTTTGGAAATGTCTTTTAGGGAGAAGCCGTGACGAGGACACGCAGAGGAGGGGGAGTTTTGCCAAGCAGCACATCAAACGGGGGACAGGGCACCAGCGAGCACATGAAATCAGCACGTCACACGCAGCCCAGCTCTGCGCTCCTTGCACCGTGAAGCTCCGTGCCTGCAGCCCCGTGTCCCATAGCCCTGTGCACGACAGCCCTGTGCCCAAACCCTACGCCTGGAGCTCCATATTGAAGCCCCAGGCTTGCAACTTCATGCCCAAACCCCATGCCCACAGCTCCATCCCCAAACCCCATGCCCACAGTCCCATGCCCAAACCTATGCCCAAGCCCTGTGCCTGCAACCCCGTGCCCAAACCCCATTCCCAAGCCCCATTCCCAAGCCCTGTGCCCAAGCCCCATTCCCAAACCCCATGCCCACAGCTTTGTGCCCAAGCCCCATTCCCAATCCCTGTGCCCACAGCCCCGTGCCCAGCGCAGGGCGCTTGGCAGCAGGGGGCCGCTCGCAGCGCGCAGACAAAAGGCTCCTTTCTGTCCCCTACCTTTTTATAATTCCCCTCCACGTCCCGCGCGGATGCCTGCCCGATGATGTCAGCCATTCCATCACCGGCCCCGCTCATGGCCCCGGCTGCCGGGCGCTCCCCGCCGCTCCCCGCCGTGCCGCGGGGACATGGCAGCGTGGCCCCGGGCACCCCGCTCACCGCCGCCCGCCGGCAATGGGGCCTCGCTCGCCGGGGCCTCGCCGCCTCCCTGCCCGCAGCTTGCCCTAATAAAGTCAAAGGCAGCGGCCGGGGCTGATTAGCGGGAGCCGGCGGAGGAAAGAAAGCCGAGGGCTCGCTCCAGCCACTGGCAGCGCCGGGTAAAAATAGCCCCGAGCCCTCGCCGGCTGCGCAAGGGCAGGAAAAATCCCGGTGTCTTATGTCAGAGCCAGGCCGGTGCTGCGTGGGTCCCTTGACAGCAGCAGGGAGCTCCCAGCAGGGTGTTCCCGGCCCAAAGTGGTTCTTTTGGGTGCAAAAAAAAGGTTTCTAGGGGTTAGCGAGCGGAGCCCCAGCAGCCTGGGCTCGCCACCCG